AACCCTCACGTTAACTTTTATCGAGTGGAAAAAAGTTAGCGTTCATCCTCCAGCTTCACTGTTTATGCTATGCTAACATAGCCGTGTCGCTAGCAATCACGTAGCACATTCATTCATTCATTCATTCATTTATTTGTTCATTTCCAGGCACAACAAATACGTATATTGAATATAAATGCACAAAACAAAAAACAAAAATTGCCTGAAAAAGGAGTGGGACGAAGAAAACTTATTAAATCCCACCCCTATATTATATAGCTATATACATCATTATATAGCAGCTAGCCCAACTTCAGTAACCTTACAAACGTCACTGCTGTTTAGTTTTCGGTCTTCATTCATGTTGGAAATGACAGCAGAGCTGTACGTTTGGATTTTTCAGAAATCTCTGTCAGAACATGCTATATCATGTTTAGGTGGAAGCTAACGAGCTAACTTCCTGCTAACTTCTAACTCTGTTGTTTTCATGGATGCCTATTTTCTATTTTTTATACTTTGTCCATCTCACAGAGCTGAATTTTTCTCTCTGTTAGGTTGAACATCGTGCTGGGTGGTATGACACCTCTGTATTTCCACATTGTCAACGTGTGTTTGCACTGCACCGTAACCTGCCTGCTGATGCACGTATGCCAGTGCCACGTGTTTGAAAACCGCCGCCTGGCCTTCGTCACGGCGCTCCTCTTCACCGTGCACCCTGTCCACACCGAGGCTGTGAGTATAACCATAAAGTTACAGGCTGCTCGGGGAATATGACAACAGAGTTTCAGTTATCACATGAAACATATTGAACTTGACTGTCCTGGCCCACTAGAACTGGTTTCCACTTCAACATCTCAGACAAAGAGGTTCATTCAAAATGATAAATTTTTCCTCCTCTAAGTTGAAACGTTGACCACAGGATAGTCACAGGATATTTCATTCATTTGAAATGGTAACCAACAGAGCAGTGACTTTTATCTTCTCAAGTCTATCTTCATTAAGCTGCTCCCGCTGCTCGTTTTGTTGCTTTTTGTCACACATTTGTCAGACAGCCATTCCCCTTGTTGCCAGGTTTCAAAACTGAAGGTTTTGATTTTCATGAAGCATCAATCTGTGTCTGTGTTTTCTCCTGTATTTTGGGATGAGATCATATGTCTGGGTGGAGCTGATGGTCTGTGTTCCAGTTAGAAACTGAGTCATTATTGTAGAGACCAAGTTGTCACAGTGGAAAGCTGGACTGAAAGACAGCACAGAGGCACTAATCATGGCAGCACAGGAACAAGCTCTGAGCACAAGATCCATAGAGGCTGGGGTCCATCACAGCAGGCAAGACCCCAGGTGCAGGCTGTGTAAAGATGCCCCAGAGACAATCCAGCACATAACAGCAGGGTGCAAGATGCTAGCAGGCAGGGCATACATGGAACGCCATAACCGAGTGGCCGGCATAGTGTACAGGAACATCTGTGTCGAGTATAACCTGGAAGTCCCGAGGTCACAATGGGAGACGCCCCCAAGGGTGGTGGAGAACGACCGAGCTAAGATCCTGTGGGACTTCCAGATACAGACGGACAAAATGGTGGTGGCTAACCAACCGGACATAGTGGTGGTAGA